CTCACTGCAAAAGTCTGCGGCTTTACTCCTGAAGTCAACAAGACCACGAGCCCACCAGAAGAAAGAAACTCCAGACACATCTGAACATCTGAAGGAACAAACTCTGGACACACCGTGTTTAAGAACTGTAACACTAACCGTGAGTGTCTGCAGCTTCATTCTTGAAGTCAGCGAGACCAAGAATCCACCAGAAGGAACTAATTTTGGACACAGAGCTACAATTCAATTGCATCTTCGGGGGGCCACAGAAATAATTCATGGCTAGAATCACAGATAATCATCCCACCCTTTCACCCTAGAAATGGCCTTGAGTGCAGTGCTCATCTTGGGCGAGAACATTACTTTATCCTCTAAGCAGTTTCATCTTTTGAATGGAATTCACAACTTCTTGGGTTTACTGTTCACCGTATCAGATGACATTCCCTCTGAGGTCTAACTGTTAGCATATTCTCTTTTCTAAAATTAGCAAATAGTATTTTCCTTGTCAGAATGGCCCACTGATATTTTGTATACTATGATACCTTGACATTTGAATACACAATTAATATCAGATCTAAAAGACTTGCTACTGCCCAGGGTAGGTGACAAACACCTTCTCCTGGTCTCACACAGCTAAGATGTTACATGGCACAAGAGTAATGAAAAGAGAAATCCATGAAGGAGACAGAAAAGAAATAATTGAATATAAGCAAGTAACTCGTGAGAGGCAAAGATCGTGTCTTGTTTGTGTCTATCAGAGGCCTAGTGGAGTGCCTAGCACAGAGAAGATTTCAATCGACACTTTCCGAACACATAGGTGAATGAATAAATGAATCGAAAAGAAATCAAGGTTAGAGTTCCTTGAGCAATTTCTACTGACTAGTGACTCTTTTTGGTTTCCCTATTCATACTGTTGAAGGTGGAACATTCTAAATCAGAATGACATAGCAATGTGGAGCACCATTCTGGTTGTGGAGCAGGGTTGTACAGATCGAGGACTCCAGCTCCACTGCTAATTGCCTGTGTGGCCCTGAGTGAGTCTCCTCAGTGAGCTTCAGTCTCATTATCTGTAAAATGATAATAATAAATACACAAATTTTGAAATTGGCCCAATTTTTCCATAGAACTAATCGGTTTTTCCAGTAAATATAAAAATTGATTCTTTTGGTCTTAAAGCTGAAAATTACAGCTGTCTTCTCTGAGCTCCCTTCTCAGAAAACAGACAGTATCAAGGAACTGAAACTCACCAGAACTGAAACATTCAGACAATGAGATGCCAGACCCCTCATCTGTCATAATTCCCTAACTGACCACCTGCTTCCTACTAACCAATCCTCTTCCTTCCCTCTCCCTAATTCCTGTTTTCTCACACATAGTCACATTCCTTCCCCACTATATAAACACCTAATTTAAGTCGGTTGGGGAGACCAATATGAAACTTACCCCCCATCTACCAGCTGTCAACTGCATTAAAAAGACTTTCTTCCCTGGCAATACTCATTGGCTCAGGGATTGGCTTTCTGTATAGTGAGCAACAGGACCTTGGTTGAACCCCTGGTATTTGGCAACAGTTCACCAGGTTGTTAAGAGGATTAAGTGAAATAAAAAACCTAAAGTCCTTAGCACAAAGCCAGACAACAGTAAGCACTCAATATTTGCGATATCACTCATAACTGAGATATAATTATGAAGATGGTACCAAATAGAGCCCAAGTGAGAAGTTCAGGGTTATGACTTTAAGTTGTTTTTCTAATTATCTTTATTAAAAGAATGATACAGGCCAGGTGCAGTGGCTCACGCCTGTAATCCCAGCACTTTGGGAGGCCGAAGCGGGCAGATCACGAGGTCAGGAGATCAAGACCATCCTGGCTAACATGGTGAAACCCTGTCTGTACTAAAAATACCAGAAATTAGCTGGACGTCATGGCACACGCCTGTAGTCCCAGCTACTCGGGAGGCTGAGGCAGGAGAATCGCTTGAACCAGGGAGACGGAGGTTGCAGTGAGCCAAGATCATGCCACTGCGCTCCAGCCTGGGCAACAAAGCAAGACTCTGTCTCGAAAAAGGAAAAAAAAAAGAGTGATACAAATAAGTGAGTAATAATGAATGCATAAACTGGGAAATGGGTAACTCATGTGGTCTCCTTACAAGGTCTCTAATGAACAACCCAGTGCCAGCTGGAAAACCTGGGGTGGTTTTCTTCTCTGCAAGATTTCTTAGGGCGGAAACACATCTACTCAAAGACTAACAGAGTGCACACTGCATTGTGGGCACTCGGGAAGTGTTCAAAGCACAGAAACATTACTCATTATCTGTAAACGTCCCTAAGGAAAGATGTTAGCTACTATTTTTGCCTTGGATAAGCCCTCTGAGCTTGTCCATAAAAGATTAAACTGGAATTGCTGACAAAGAAAATGAACACAAAAAAGACATTGCTCTGTGGCAGGCAGACCTATGTAAACCCAGCCACAAAGGCCAAGGAAGTTAAGAGACCAAAGAAAGAGGCTGACAAATCCAGTTTCTCAGAAGGGAACATTTAATAGTGACTTACAAATAAAAGCCATAGTTTCCGGTGGTGGTGAGGCAAGATGGTGGATCCTGGCACCATTATCCCCCAGATCCAAGGCTTCTATATGATCGGGTAGGAATGTGTAGGACAATTGAAGTCAACCCTTCAAAGAAAGGCACAAATGTCATGTGACTCTCACTAAGGGCAGGATTTATGGTCAAAGTTGTTTTGACCTAAGGACAGAATTTACTTGAAACATATGCTCTTACACAAGGAACAGTAGATAAAATAGAAATCTTAGAGGCATTCTCAGAACTGGGGCTAGTCAAAAGTCAACATGGCGACTACCATCCAAGATGGTGTTGCTTTAGTCTCCACAGGCATGCTTTCTTGGGTCCAGCTGGATGAGACAGTTATTTGTGTAAAGACATTCTCCTTTTATAAGTCAATGATGTCAAAATTAATTTAAGATTTGACTTATCTGCTAGGAGGTCAACTTGATCTTTCTTAGTGGCAAAAAATTGGGAAGATGTAAGGTTTTGTGGTATTTTAAAATTCCTAGAAGATATGTAAAAACAAGAAAATGTATAATCCTGACCGGCCACATGCGTTAAAAGTTCAGATTGAATCCTTTGAGCTGGAGAGTAAATTTAAAAATAAATGAAATAATGTTGAGATTGGAGACCAATTGAGTAATGTTCTTGGCAATCATTTGTTGTAATTAACACCCCCAAAACAGCTCAAAGATGGAATTTATAGCTTTTCAAAGCAATGCTGTGAAATAACTAAATAGATATATGTATATGTATACATGTAATACTGTGAAAAAAAAATAAGACAAAATTCAAATAGAGATGATGAGGACATGGGGGAGCACATAGAAAGGAAATCTAAAGTAAACTATTCATTTGGTCCAGGCGCGGCGGCTCACACCTGTAATCCCAGCACTTTAGGAGGCCGAGGTGGGCAGATCATTTGAGGTCAGGAGTTCGAGACCAGCCTGGCCAATATGATGAAACCCTGTCTCTACTAAAAATACAAAAATTAGCCAGGCAGTAGTCCCAGTTACTTGGGAGGCTGAGGCAGGAGAATGGCTTGACCCAGAAGGCGGAGGTTGCAGTGAGCCCAGATCGCGCAATTGCATTGCACTCCAGCCTGGGCGACAGAGTGAGACTCCATCTCAAAAAAATAAAAATAAAAACTATTCATTTACTAGTTTATTCCAAGGACCAACACATGCACATCCACACGCAGAGATTGTATGACAATTTTGACTAGAGAGCAAGACTTTATGCACATCACAATGAGTGTGAAATAGAAGAAATGAATAGAAAAACGACAGACTGCTCCAACCTAGTTACATTGAACTTGTTGGATTTTAGATTAAACAAATTGGAGTAAATAAATTGATGTCATATAGTGTTGCACATACTTAATCTATACAGAAGAACGGCAGAACTTCCAGTCAAAAGGCTTTTTACCACACTCCAGGATAACTTGGGAATCATCTCTGAGGACTCCATAAGCTGCATGGAATCTATCATACTTTTACACAAGGTTGGTCTAGGTTGTGCCCTCTGGTGGTACTTTAGGAAATTTTGAGGGATTGGGGGAAAGAAGAATGGAGAGAGAGAGGAAAGGTAAAAAAGAGAAGGGCAGAGTAGAGGGTAGAAGTAGGGGATGGATTCCTTGAATGCCCACCATTTATACCATGCCAAGCAATTTTACCTAAATGGTCTCATTAATCCTCTCAACTCCACTGTAAGTAGGTATCCTAAGCCTCAGTTCATGGCTCAGGAAATGGACGTCCAGAGAAGTGAAGAAATTGGTTCAGTCTCACAGTATAATAAGTGGCAGAACAAGATTATTCTCAGTTCTTCTGGCCTGCCCACTGCTGTTCTGCAACTCACCAGATGCCTGCACATACTTGACCCTAAACCAGATTCCTCAACAAGTCAACAGCAACCCACCTGCCCTGGCCATTTAGCTATTGCCCACCATGTCATCAGGTACCCTTCCTGATGGCACTCCCAATCCTGCAAAGGACATCCCTGATTCCACATGAGGTTAAGGAGATGCTGTTGCCTACCTGTTTCACTCTAAGGAAATTCACATAATGATGTTTTTCACCCTAAATGCCAAAACCCAAAGTTTTTTACAATGAAAAAATCTCTTCTGAGTAAGCTTGAAGTCTACTCTGGAAGGTAAATGTGTCACTGGACGGCTGATAATGAACTTAAAGTTACTATACTAGACATAGATGTTTTAAAATATATTTCATTCAAGCCAAGTCTGCTAAAGTCCATCGAAAAACATTTTGACTTATTTATTTGAAAAGAAAATGTGTGTTCCCTTTCAATGGTATGCCTTTCTATAAACTGAATTATCACAGTTTCCTCTATTCCAAGAACTGCATGCAGTAAACCTTGAGAAAAATGTTTTTCTCCAACCTCCTTTTTCTTAGAAATCTATTGACCATTTTGATTTTCATTCTCAATGCATAGCTACTTACATTTTGTTTTCCAGTTCTCTTCTGGGGTGTGTTCACATTCATTCTGGTAGCCATTTAAGTTTGTCTCCTGTTGATCTTTGATTTTATGTTTATTTCCATCAGACATACTTCATTCTTTCTTACTTCTGAAATTGGCATTTCTGCCAGAGATGGGTAGCTGCCGTCCCAGTATCTGTTCTGCACAACCATGATTTTATGCAAGGGATGAAACTGCTGAGACAAAAGACTGTATTTCTCATCCAACCTTGCTGTGTCGATGTGATTAAGGTCTGATCAATGACACACAAGTGGAAGTGTCAGTGACACTTATAGAAATGCTCCTTGACAGAGCACCAGACAGCTGGCCCGGGCCTTTTCTGTTCTTCCTCACTTCCTTCCTCCTGCCAGACATGTGAGCCTGAGCCCTGCTAGCCATGTTGGACCAGAGGGAAGATTGTCAGTCACACACGTTACATGTGGCAGAGCAGACAGGATACCAGGTCCAAGATAATGGTGGAGTACCACGCCAGTCTTACGCTGCCTATTTCTGGAGAGAAAAAAGGAAACTTAAGAACTCATCTCATTTAAGCCTGTGTTGCTCCTAGTGTTGTTACTAGTATCTTTACACAATTGTTAATAAATGCAATCTTCCTGGAGTCACCTGAGGATATGGAGTTCCTTTCTGGAAACTACAGATAGACGAAAGATACTTAATTTTCAGGTTGGGCCACGGTAGCTCACGCCTGTAATCCCAGCACTTTGGGAGGAAGAGGTGGGCAGATCACGAGGTCAGGAGATCAAGACCATCCTGGCTAACATGATGAAATCCCCTCTCTACTAAAAATACAAAAAAATTAGCCAGGCGTGGTGGCGGGCGCCTGTAGTCCCAGCTACTCAGGAGGCTGAGGCAGGAAAATGGCGTGAACCTGGGAGGCAGAGCTTGCAGTGAGCCGAGATCGCGCCACTGCACTCTGGCCTGGGTGACAGAGCAAGACTCTGTCTCAAAAAAAAAAAAAAAAAAAAAAAAAAAAAAAAAAACTTAATTTTCATCTAATCCTTTGGGATATGACCAAGTGAAATGTTCTAAGGTATTAAAAGTCTGATTAAAGACAAATCTTATGACAGTAAATTTAACTTTGAGTCAAACTTCTATAATACCACTGTACTATAAAAACTGGCAAATAAAATTTCAATACAGCAACTTAAACACCATATTTTTTAAAATATTCATTGTCTCAAGGGCTGATGATGATCTATAAACTGAAAAAACTAAATACTGGGTCATGGCTATGGACCTTGGGTTGCAAGAACTAGCTTAGGAAAAACAAAAGTATTGGTTTACCTAACAAAAAAGTGTAGTAATAGACCTGCTTTCCAACATGGCTGGATCTTCAGGAATCTGTCTCTCTTCAGCTCTCAGCTATAATTTTCTTTTTATTGGTTTTATTCTGAGGCAGGCTCTTTCTATATGGCTGCAAAGACAACCACTAACCAGTCCAGGACTACAGTTTACCAGCTTAAAACAACAGTGGAAAGGCCAGACGTGGTGGCTCATGCCTGTAATCTCAGCAGTTTTGGAAGCTGAAGCGGGCAGATCACCTGAGGTCAGGAGTTCGAGACCAGCCTGGCCAACATGGTGAAACCCTGTCTCTACTAAAAATACAAAAAGTAGCCGGGTGTGGTGGCAAACGTCTGTAATCCCAGCTACTCAGGAGGCTAAGGCAAGAGAATCCCTTAAACCCGGGAGGTGGAGGTTGCAGTGGGCTGAGATCACACCACTGCACTCCAGCCTGGGGGACAAGAGCGAGACTTTGTCTCAAAAAGAACAAAACAGTGGAAAGAAGGCACTTTTTCCCAGATGTATTAGATTATCAGTCAACAAGTATTCATTATCGCCCCCTCAACTTTCATGAGAGCCTTTGATGTCAATATTGGTCATATGATTTGCTTTGGCCAATGGAACATTAGTCAATGTGACATGAGTTTGGCTGAACTAGGTTTACACAGTGGGACGTGGTCTTTTACACTTTGCTTTCATCATTAGAGGACTATGCTTTGAGTTGAGTAGCTACTGGCCCAGGGAGGATGAAGGACACATGGAGCAAAATTGGAGCCAAGCCCAGCCCATCTTACCTTGCGTAAAAAATAAATAAATAGTTTTCAACTGAGATTTGGAGCAGTTTCTCACACAGCGTATGTGAGGCAACAGCTGATTGGTGCATATGAAATTCCAACAAAATTGTTTAATCTCATTAGCTCAGGTCAGTAGTTCTTAAGTATGATCATCAGTGTTGCCTGGGAACTTAACAAGTCATCAGGTCTCACCCCAGACCTACACAACTAAACACTCTGAAGTAAGGGACCAGCAATTTTTGTTTAAAGAAGTGCTCCAAGTGATTCTGATTTCCTATCAAGTTTGACACCCACTGACTTAGGTCATATGCCCATCCTTAAACCAATCTCAGGACCTAAGATTTCAGGCCTGGAGTTGTACGATGGCTCAGTGGCACTAGAATTACCTGAACTAGGGAACGGAGTCTAAGAGTGGACATTTCTGACAAGTCCATAGGTGATGCTGATGCTCCTGGTCTAGGGAGAACCTCTGTTGTAGGCTATGGGTGTGGCAGCAATAATTCCCTATTGGGAAATCAGCATCTGTTAATAAAAGAAGAAAGAAACAAAAGAAGAACGATGCTGGTCAGGGAACAAATGTCAATCACGACTCCATTCGCATTAAAAGAAAAACATTCTGACAACCACAAATATTCTCCAACAATTCTGTAGGGACAGGGGAATCTGGAGTGAAAAGAGAAATCTCATCTGTCATTCAGTTTGTGAAATTGATTGAGACATGAACTGATTTTTTTGTCTCTTCAATTTTGCCAAAATTCAAAACAGAGCTCAGGAATCAAATAGAAGATGGCAGTTTTTGCTAGAGAGAACCATGTATCATTTTCCAATGTGATATGAATTGTCACATAAATCTTTCTTAGTACAATTCACTGAAGATAAATATAGTGCTTAAGGAGATAACGTCTATATATCAAACAATTGAGTCATTTTGATCCATTCTAGTGAAACCAAGACAGCAGCCTATAGTTTTGAGTGATCCAAGATAAAAGATAGAATCACAGCCCCTAACTATTGCTGTTATTTTTAATCTGTTCTTGGTACGCAGAAATCAAAGAATTTTAAAACTCAAAGGACCTTAGAGATCATCTAGCCCACGTATTACAAACCACCAGACAAACTACATTTCACCTCAAAAGGTGTTTTATTTGCCCTGTACAGAAGTGTTTTATGTTAATTAACATTTTTGCCATATTTTAAATTTTTCAACATTTTTTAATGAGTTTGAAGATCTGGTGTAACACATTACAGACATAAGTCTATATTCCCTCACAGCATGTTAAGTGGGAGGTGAATGCTACCATGCTACCACCCTCCTTTTTTTTTTTTTTTTTTTTTTTTGAGACGGAGTCTAGGCTGTCACCAGGCTGGGGTGCAGTAGCACGATCTGGGCTCCTGCCACCTCTTGCTTCCTGGGTTCAAGCAATTCTTCCTGCCTCAGCCTCCCGAGTAGCTGGGACTACAGGTGCACCCACAAGCCCAGCTAATTTTTATATTTTTAGGTAGAGACAGGGTTTCACCACGTTTGGCCAGAATGGTCTCAATCTCTTTGACCTTGTGATCTGCCCTTCTCGGCCTCCCAAAGTGCTGGCGGATTACAGGCATGGCCACCGTGCCCAGCCTACCTCCTTTTGAATGAGCCTTACTCCTACCCTCAGTTTGATGAGGAACACTACGGCACTGTGATTTTACAACCAGATCTCTTCACTTGTCTCCAGGACTTGCCTGTGGTCCCACAGGCATTTTAGGTTGGCTGCCTCTCATCTAGACCAATTCCGCTGTTTGACCAATAAGACACTGGGTCCATGGTGATGACGAACTTTAATGCACATCATCTCTCAGGGGCAGACCCAGTCTTGCATGGCTAGTTTTCTCATTTTTAGAATGTAGTTTCCCCTAGAGACAAATTTTTTACCATAAATAAGAGAACTGCAAGTTTGCCTTTTAAATTCTTCTCATTTGGGGCTGGGCACAGTGGTTCACACTTGTAATCCCCAGCATTTTGAAGGCCGAGGCTGGGGGATCACCTGAGGCCAGGAGTTTCGAGAACCAGCCTGGCCCAACATGGTGAAACCCTATCGCTACTAAAACTACAAAATTAGCCAGGTATGGTGGTACACACCTGTAGTCCCAGCTATACAGGTATGGTGGTACACACCTGTAGTCCCAGCTATACAGGAGGCTGAAGACAGAACTGCTTGAACCAGGAGGCAGGAGGCTGAGATGAGCTGAGGGTCACACCACCACACCACTTACACTCAAGCTAGGTAACAAGAGCAAGACTCTGTCTCAAAAAAAAAAAAAAAAAAAAAATCTGCTCATTCCACCCACGCTCAGTGGCTCACACCTATAATCCTAGCACTTTGGAGGCAGAACAGGAGGATTGCTTGAACCCAAGAGTTTGAGACTAGCTTGGGGCAACATAGCGGATGTCTTGTCCCTACTAAAAATTTTAAAATTAGCCAAGTATGGTGGCACATGCCTGTAGTCCTAGCTACTTGGGAGGCTGAGGTGGAAGAATTGGCTTGAGCCTGGGAGATCAAAGGTTGCAGTGAGCTATGACTGCACAATTGCACTCAGCCCTGGGCAACAGAGCATGAACCATGGTCTCAAGGAAAATAAGCAAATAATAAAGAATCCTGCTCAGTCATACTGAGGTAGGTGATAAATCAGTATATAGCTTATTTCAGAAACCCAAAGAAAGAACAAATCCATGAGAATGTAAGATGATAAACACACAAGTTTAAAGTGAAGTGAATCCTTACTTGGATTAGGTACCTTAGATAGTTTTAATTCCTTTGGCTAGAAAGTGATGGGTTTTTTTCTGCTTAAAAGTGATTTCTTGTGGGCCGGGCGCAGTGGCTCAAGCCTGTAATCCCAGCACTTTGGGAGGCCGAGACGGGTGGATCACAAGGTCAGGAGATCGAGGACCATCCTGGCTAACATGGTGAAACCCCGATTCTACTAAAAAATACAAAAAAAAAAAAAACTAGCCAGGCGAGGTGGCGGCGCCTGTAGTCCCAGCTACTCGGGAGGTTGAGGCAGGAGAATGGCGTAAATCCGGGAGGCGGAGCTTGCAGTGAGCTGAGATCGGCCACTGCACTCCAGCCTGGGCGACAGAGCAAGACTCCGTCTCAAAAAAAAAAAAAAAAAAGTGATTTCTTATACCTTATACCCATTAGGATGGCTACTATCAAAAAACACAGAAAATAACAAGTATTTGAGAGGATGTAGAAAAATTGTGATCTTTGTGCACTATTAGGGAAAATGTAAAATGGTGCAACCACTGTTACTAAGACACCAGGGTCTAGATCCTGCTGCTCACTGCACAGAAAGCCAATCACTGAGACAATGAGTGTTTCCAAGAAAAAAGGCATTAATCAGTTGATGCTGCCAAGGATATCAGTCTCAAATCCATCTCCCTAACCAACTGAAATTAGGGGTTTATATAGCATGGAAGAAATGTAATCACATGTGGGAAAACAAGAATTAGGGAGGGGTAAGGAAAAGAAGTTGGTCAACAGGAAGTAGGTGATGGGTTAGACAATCATGATGGGTAAGGAGTCTGGTGTCTCATTATCCAGATGCAGTGATCTGGTAAATGTCAGTTCCTTGGTACTATCTGGGAGGCCTGATATTTGGTTTATTTATTTATTTGTTTATTTATTTATTTTTGAGACGGAGTCTCGCACTGTCACCCAGGCTGGAGTACAGTGGCATGATCTCGGTTCACTGCAAGCTCCGCCTCCTGGGTTCATGCCATTCTCCTGTCTCCTGAGTAGCTGGGATTACAGGCACCTGCCACCATGCCTGGCTAATTTTTTGTAATTTTAGTAGAGATGGGGTTTTATCGTGTTAGCCAGGATGGTCTCGATCTCCTGACCTCATCATCCGCCCATCTCAGCTTCCCAAAGTGCTGGGATTACAGGCGTGAGCCACCATGCCTGGCCGATGGTTGTTTTCTTAAGAAAGGTACTCAGGTAAGACAAATGTAACTTTTTCAAGTTTTAAAACTGAGAGAGTCAATTTCTATGTTTATTCAAAAGAAACCATAAACATTAGTTCTATGGGACAATTGGGTTGGTTTCCCCATTATAAAAAACAGTATGGCAGTTTCTCAAAAAAAAATTGAAATAAAATTAGCATATAATCCAGGAATTCTACTTCTGGGTATATATCCAAAAGAATTGAAAGCAGGATCTCAAAGACATTATTTGTACACTCATTTTCATAGCAACACCATTCCCACTAGCCAAGATAGAAACAACCTAAATTTGCCTGTCCATTAACAGAGGAACAGAATTCTACAATGGGTGTGTGTGTGTGTGTGTGTGTGTGTGTGGAATATTATTCAGCCTTCAAAAGGAAGGAAATTTTGACATATGCCACAACATAAATAAACCTTAAGTACATTATGTTAAGTGAAATAAGTCAGACACAAAAAGATAAATACTGTATGGTTACTTTCCTATGAGTTATTTAGAATAGTCAAATTTATAGAAACAGAAAGAAGCATAGTTGTTGCTGAGGACGGGGGGAGGGATAAATGAGGAGTTATTGTTAAACGAACATAGAGTTTCAGTTTTGCAAGATGAAATAGTTCTGGAGATCATTTGCACAATAATGTAAATATGTTTAACACTACTGAATTGCGTGCTTAAAAATGGTTAAGATGGTAAATTTCATGTTATATGCTTTTTATCATAATAAAAAATAATTTTTGAAAAAGAATTTCTTAGTTAAGTCGACTAGAATGTTTTTTAAATCTGGTGTAATTATTTCACAGGTCAGAATGTGGAATCCAAAGATGAAATAGAAAGCAGATATGTCTCATCCTGCTGAGGCTAACTGAACATTCTGGATACCTCTGGGGGAGGAGATCTTCCATGTACATGAACATAGCTAAGCAAGTTCAAAAACAAAGTCAGACTTTAAAAATATTTTATTGAAATGACAAATTACAGAATGTTCTCTAGAGCTGGAACTAATAAATTTTTATATTACAATTTCACCTCACTCCAAAAACTACAGCAAAAATGTTTGTATTTAGGCCAGGCATGGTGGCTCACACCTGTAATCCCAGCACTTTGGGAGGCCAAGGCAGGAGAACGTCATGAACCCGGGAGGCAGAGCTTGCAGTGAGCTGAGATCACGCCACTGCATTCCAACCTCGGTTACAGAGCGAGACTCCGTCTCAGAAAAAAAAAAAAAAAGTTTGTATTTAATGTTTAAAACTTACTCTAAAAACATAATGTGTAAAAAATTGAGAAATTCCATTGCTATAATTAAGAAAATTCAGATATGTGGAGAATAGAAAATATACTTTATAATATTTAACCCATCCTTATCTTTGGGATAAATAATCTAGTTTTTGGATTTTAATAATTTTCTCAATATAGATTAATTATCTCTATTCACTAATCCTAGAGATCATTGTTCCTGAAATTAACAGCAAGGACAATATTGGTTGCTCACAATGTAATAGTTGTATATCTACTGGGTCATCAATCACTGAGAAAATGTAAGATCAGTGTCAATGTCCCAGAAGGCGATTCTAATGCAAACCACCCTCTGAAGATTTTATAATTGTTGACCTATATTTGTCTACTGAATAAGGGATCAGTAAGCCACCAGCATGCATATCATTTTGTCTGAACAGCTTTCCACAGTCTCCTCTTCTCTAAAGACTGTCAAGGAAAGCACCACACTCCCAGGTGCCCCAAAAGCAACTCAATGGGCTGGCTTTGGTTCACTGGGACACTTCATTCAGCTCCTCTCCTCTCTGTCAATGTTTCTTACAGACAGTCTATAACCATTGTGCCCCTGGTTCTATATAGAAGAGTGTCTGTAAGAGACATTGACAGAGAAGAGCTGAATGGATGATTTTATTCAGCTGTAAACAGTAATGTCCAGGCCTATGGAATGGAAACTGGAATCTACCCAGGAAACAGATTAGTCTAGTACTACAAGGCTAGGCCATCCTTGAAATGCCAATTAAAAATTTGTGAGAAAAATGATGAAGAAGCCACAGTTATTACCTGTGTCTGGAAGCTCAGTTGCACCAACAAACATTATTACTAGGCGACAATACTCTCGTGAATTCTGTGAGTGATGAGGAAGGGGAATAAGGGGAGAGGAAATAAAGCAATGAGACTAGTCTTTGCTCTTAAGAAGTTTGTATCTTAGTCAAGGAGATAAATGCTATTTACGCAATTCCAGAAAATACATGGCAGTCTATAATCAACTATTAAGATTTGTGATTATACTTTTATTAAAAGAATTCAGAGGAAGGCTTTGCATGATGGCTTCTGCCTGTAAATTTCAGCTCTTTGGGAGGCTAAGGTGGGAGGATCACTTGAGACCAGGAGTTTGAGACCCACCTGGACAACATAGTGAGATCCGGTCTCTGAAAAATAAATAATGAAATAAATAAATAAAATGTTAATTAGCCGGGTGTGGTGGTGATGCAACCCTATAGTCTTAACTACTTGGTAGACTGAAGCAAGAGGGTCACTTAAACCCAGGAGGTTGGGGCTACAGTGAGTTATGATGGGGCCACTGCACTCCAGCCTGGACAACAGTGCAAGACCCTGTCTCTAGAAAAAGAAAAAGAATTCAGAGGAGGAAAAGACCGAAGTGATGTAGGGTGTCAAGAAGGGTTTCATGAACTTGATATGGTTCCCATTTGATAGAAAGGTGGAATTTGATATACAAAAATAATTTCAGAATGAACCACCCATATGTTCCTGCCTAAGTTCTACAATAAACACTTTCTATATTTGCTTTATCACACATTATGCTAAGTGACACAAAAGGCCACGTACTTTATGATTCTACTTATATGCGATATCAAAACAGGAAAATCCATAGAGACAAAAGTAGATTAATGGTTGCAGGTGTTGGGTGGGGGCAGCCATGAGGAGTGACTGCAGATAGGTAAGGAGTTTCTTTTGGGGATGATGAAAATATTTTGGAATTAGATTGCAGTGGTGGTAGCACTACCTTGTAAATGACAATATCTTGAACAAATCTGAGATCAGACCCAAAGGTCAGTAGCCAATCTCTGTCCAGGGGAGAACACTACCCTTACTGTCTTAACCCTTTTATGGAAAACCTGTTGTAACAGTTTAACTTTTTTTTTTTTTCAGACACAGTCTCACTCTGTTGCCCAGGTTGGAATGCAGTGACACAATCTTGGCTCGCTGAATCCTCTGCCTCCTGGATTCAAGCAATCCTCCCACCTCAAAGTCCCGAGTAGCTGGGACTATAGGCATGCACCACCACACCCAGCTAATTGTTGTGTTTTTAGTAGAGACGAGGCTTCACCATATTGGCCAGGCTGGTCTCAAACTACTGACCTCAGGTGATCCACCTGTCTCAGCCTCCCAAAGTGCTGGGATTATAGGTGTAAGCCACCACGCCCAGCCTTTAACAGTTAACTTTATATGCCAACTTGACTACACCACAGGGTTCCCAAATTGAACATTATTTTTGAATGTGTCACTGAGGTTGTTTCCAGATGAGATTAGCATTTGAATTGGTGGACTGAGTAAAGCAGATGTCCCTCTCAAATGTGTGTGAGCATTGTCCAATTCACTGAGGGACGAAATAGAAAAAAAAATGGCAAAGGAAGGGGGAATTTGTCCTTTGCTTTCTGCCTGCCTGCATGAACTGGGACATCAGTCTTCGCTTGTCCTTGGACTTGAGACAAAGCAGGGACCCCTCTGAGGGACCTGTGGGCACCCCATACTGTGAAAATAAAAGAAAATATTTGGTTCCTTCAAGGGAAATTCCAGGCACCTAGCTAGCCCTGAGAAGTAAATGAGCAACTTGAAAAGTAAGAAGGAATAGTAGCTTAAAACAATAGCCAAGGAAGTTAGAGAATGTTTGGTGTTCCCTATAGAAACTAAAGGCAACATCCTAACCTATGTGCCTGAGCTCTTTTCAGAAACCTGGATCCCCATCAAATAAACATGATGGCATGCAGACCTCAGATAAGGGAAAACCGAGGAATGAACTCTGCAGTTCTTCACTCTAAAGTTCTTCCTGAGGGGTCTGGAGGAAATCATGCCCATGAGCCAGAGCTAACATTCTTTTCTGCTAACCCCACATTTCAAAACAGACATTCTCTTCCTTCACTAATTGCAAATCAGAAAGTCTTTGAATCTACCTGCCTTAAGATATCAAACCATTTTAGGCCAAATCGATGTGTAACCTCCATGTATTGATTTATAATTTTTACTGTAACTTCAACTTTCCTAAAATTTACCCCCACCTTTAGATAACACTCACAAGCCATCACGGGTCATGTCTCAAGTGTAAGCTGCCCAATTCTTCATGCTTGGGCCCCTCTTTTCTCCCTCTGCAAACTTTCATGTAGATAGTTGGCCTATGGCACACGGTAAGCAGATCCCAGTTTGGTCTGGTAACAGAGATTTATATCATTGTGCCCCTGGTTCTTAGGCCTATGGACTCATCTAGGTCTTCAGCCTGCAAAAGGTAGATCACAGGTGCATTAGTCCATTCTCACACTGCTATAAAGAGCCACCTGAGACTGGGTAATTTATGAAGGAAAGAGGTTTTATTGACTCAAAGTTCCTCAGGCTGTACCAGTAGCATGGCTAGGAGGCCTCAAGAAACTTACAATCATGGCAGAAGAGAAAGGGGAAGCAGGCACATCTTACCATGGCAGAGCAGGAGAGAGAAAGAGAAGAGGGAAGTGCAACACACTTTTAAACCATGAGATCTTATGAAAACTCACTAACATGAGAACAGCCAAGAGGAGATCCATCCCCATGATCCAATCACCTCCCACAAGGCCCCACCTCCAATTCAACATGAGATTTGACAGGACACAAATCTAAACCTTATCATTCTGCCCCTGGCCCCTCCCAAATCTCATGTCCTTCTCATATTTGAAAACTAGTCATGCTCTCCCAACAATTCCCCAAAGTCTTAACTCATTCCAGCATTAAATCAAAAGTCCAAATCCAAAGTCTCATCTGAGACAAGGCAAGTCCCTTCCACTTGTGAGCCTGTAAAATCAAAAACAAGTTATTTCCAAGATAATACAGACATGCAGGCGTCAGGTAAATGCTTCCATTCCAAAAGGGAGAAATTGACCAAAAGAAAGGGGCCCCAAGCAAGTCCAAAACCCAGCAGGATAGTCATTAAATCTTAAAGCTCCAAAATGATCTTTGACTCCATGTCTCACATCCACAGCACACTGATGCAAGGGGTGGGCTCCAAAGGCCTTGGGCAGCTCCACCCCGTGGCTCTGCAGGGTATGTACAGCTCCTGTGGCTGCTTTCACGGGCTGGCATTGAGTGCTTGTGGCTTTTCTAGGTGCACAGTGCAAGCTGTCAGTGGATCTACAATTTCAGGGTCTGGAGGATAGTAGCCCTCATGTCACAACTCCACTAAGAAAGGCCCTAGTGGGGACTCTGTGTGGGGGCTCCAACCCCACATTTCTCATCTGCACTTCCCTAGTAGAGGTTCTCCATGAGGGCTCTGCCTCACAGCAGACTTCTGCCTGGACATCCAGGCATTCCCATACATCCTCTGAAATCCAGGCAGAAGCTCCCAAAGCTCAACTCTTGTCTTCTGTGCACCCACAGGCCCACAGCCACGTGGAAGTCTCTGAGGCTTGGGGCTTGCACCCTCTGAAGCAACAGCCTGAGCTGTATGTCCTCTCCTTTTAGCCACAGCTGGAGCTGGAGCAGCTTAGACACAGGGCACCATATCCCAAGGCTGCACAGAGCAGCTGGGCCCTTGGCATGACACGCAAAACCATTTTTTCCTCCTAGGCCTCTGGACCTGTAATGGGAGGGGCTGCGGTGAAGGTCTCTGAAATTCCCTGGTATCTGATATTTTCCTCATTGTATTGTCTGTTAACATTTGGCTCCTCTTTACTTATGCAAATTTCTGCAGCAGGCTTGAATTTCTCCCCAAAAAAATGGGTTTTTCTTTTCTACCACATGGCCAGGCTGCAAATTTTCCAAACTTTTATGTTCTGCTTTCCTTTTAAATATAAGTTCCAGTTTCAGATAATCTTTTGTTCACATGTATGAGCATACACTTTCAGAAACAGTCACGTTAGCTCTTGAATGCTTTGCTGCTTAGAAATTTCTTCTGCTAGATACCCTAAATCATCTCTCTCCAGTTCAAAGTTCCACAGATTTCTAGGGCAGAGGAAAAATGCCTCCAGTTTCTTTGCTAAAGGAGAGCAAAGATGACCTTTATTCCAGTTCCCAGTAAGTTCTTCATCTCCATCTGAGACCAACTCATGCTAAACATCATTGTCCATTATCACTATCAGAATTTTGGTCAAACCATTCAACAAGTCTCTATGAAGTTCCAAACCTTCCCACATTTTCCTGTCTTCTTCTGAGCCCTTCAAACTGTTCCAATCTCTGCCCATGACCAGTTCCAAAGTCACCTACACATTTTCAGGTATCTTTATAGCAGAGCCCCATTCTCCTGGTATCAATTTTCTGTATCAGTTCGTTCTCACACTGCTATAAAGAACTACCTGAGACTGGGTAATTCATGAAGAAAAGAGATTTAATTGACTCATAGTTCTTCATGCTGTACAGGATAGCTTCTTTCTTTCAGGAAGCAAAGCTAGAAGGCCTCATGAAACTTACAATCATGGCATAAGGAAAAGAGGAAGCAAGCACGTCTTACTGTGGCAGAGCAGGAGAGAGAGACAGTGAAAGGGGAAGTGCCACACACTTTTAAACCATGAGATCTCATGAGAACTCATTCACTATCACAGGAACAGCAAGGGGAGATCTGCCCCCATGATTCAATCACCTCCCACCAACTGTATGTACATACACACACATATATATATACATACAGAGAGAGATTTATTATGAGGAATTGCTTTACATAATTATGGAGGCTAAGAAGTCCTGTTGATGTGGTTTGAACTTGTGTCCCTACCCAAATCTCATACTGAATTGGAGGAGGTGCCTGGTAGGGGGTGATTGAATCATGGGGGCAGATTTCCCCTTGCTGTTCTTGTGATAGTGTATGAGTATATATATGTGTGTGTGTGTGTGTGTGTGTGTGTGTTTACAGCTCCTGAAGGTTCTCTCTCTATATATGTATGTGTGGGTATGTATACATAAATATATATATGTATGTATATAAGCATATGTGTGTATGTTTATACATCTCTGTTGGTCCTCTATATATATATACGTGTATATATACAAATATATACGTATATATACACATATATACATATATACACATGTATATGCATACATACACACATATATGTGTATATACATACATATATACATATATGTGTACACACACACATGCATGTGCATGCACACACACACATCATTTTGTTCTGTTTCTTTGGACAAACCTAAGTAATAACCTATAAACACACAATAGTCACATAAACCTAACAGATAGAAAATGGAGTGTGTGATTTTGTGAAATATATATGTGGTCTTTGACCTTGTTTCCTGGCATACAATTCCTAAAATTCTTAGATTCTCCAAATTGATGTATTTTTGTTGCTAATGATTGACTGATGGCTGGAGCCCTAAGGTAGCTTCAAGATGGGGGTTGGTCGCCAGAAAAACCAAAGCAGGATTAGAGAGTTAGGGTTTTCAGCCTGCCTCCCTTAATTCAGGGAAGGCGAGAGAGGTTGAAAGTTAAGGTGATCACCAATGGCCAATGATTTAATCAATCATGCCTACATAATGAAGGCTCACTAAAAGCACAAAAGGACTGGGTTTGAGGAGCTTCTGGATAGCCCAACACCTGGAGGTTCTTGGAGAGTGGCATGCCTGGGAAGGGCATGGAAGCTTCATGACCCCTTCCTTCATACCTTACCCTATGCATCTCTTCATCTGTACCCTTTGTAACATCCTTTATAACAAACCAGTAAACCAAAGTAAGTGTTTCCCTGAGTTCTATGAGGTGCTCTAGCAAATTAATTGAGTCCAAGAAGGTGACCACGGGAACCCCAATTTATAGCTGGTCAGTCAGAAGCACAGGTAAAACAACCGAGGGTTTGCAATTGGTATTTAAAGTTGGGGAACAGTCTTCAAGACTGAGCCCTCAACCTATAGGACCTGATGCTATCTCCAAGTAAATAGTGTCAAAATTGAACTAGAGGTTACCCAGCTGGTGCCCACTACAGAACCGACTGCTTGCTTGGTGTGTGGGAGAAAAAAATCCCACGCGTTTGGTCACAGAAGTCTTCTGTATTGATTGTTATTTGAGTAAGTAGAAAAAAAAAAAGCATGGTTTGAGTTTTTTCCACTCAGAAGAGTGATAGAAAAAAATAACAAAAGCGTCTTTCCAATAATGAATAACAGAGCTATTCCTGATGGTTAGAAAACAGTATGTTTTCTTTTTTCAAAAAAAAAGGTTGGCATCTATGATCTATATTCATTTACGATTATAGCTAAATGTTTCCCAACGCTTATTTGCCCTCTGCATTTTTTTTTTTTTTTTAGACGGAGTCTCGCTCTTTTGCCCAGGATGGCATGCAGTGGCGAGATCTAGGCTCACTGCAACCTCTGCTTCCTGGGTTCAAGCGATTCTCCTGCCTCAGCCTCCTGAGTAGCTGGGATTACAGGCACCCACCACCACATCCAGCTAATTTTTGTATTTTTAGTACAGACAGGGTTTCACCATGTTAACCAGGCTGGTCTCAAACTCCTGACCTCAATGATCCACCTGCCTTGGCCTCCCAAAGTGTTAGGATTACAGACATGAATGCCCTCTACAATAAAAAAAAAAGTAAGGTAATAAATAATAGCCTAGCAAGATTTCCTACTTCTGTGTCACATCATCACTGTCCAATATCTCTAAACCATTGCTTTTAGATGTAAAAAGACAATGCATAGATATGAGATATATAAAAGAAGCAGGATTTTAATACCAAAATGCTGTACTGCCAAGAATATCTGCAAGAAAGAACAGAGGACCCAAAACTCAAGAATATCTGCAAGAAAGAACAGAGGACCCAAAAACTCAATTCCAAAAACATAATTTGATTAACTACTTAGATCAAAATAATAGTCAGAAAAAAATGGTAATGGCTATATAAACACAGAAACTCTAATTTTAAAAAAATTTATTAGGCTGGGCATGGTGGCTCACATCTGTAATCCCAGCACTTTGGGAGGCCAAGGCAGGCAGATCATGAGGTCAGGAGATTGAGACCATCCTGGCTAACACGGTGAAACCCCGTCTCTACTAAAAATACAAAAATTACCCAGGCGTGGTGGCGGGCACCTGTAGTCCCAGCTACTCAGGAGGCTGAAGCAGGAGAATGGTGTGAACTCAGGAGGCGGAGCTTGCAGTGAGTTGAGATCGCGCCACTGCACTCCAGCCTGGGCAACAGAGTGAGACTCCATCTTAAAAAAAAAAAAAAAATTATTCATATTGTTTCATTCCACTGATCCTTTTTTAAGCCCACCTTCTGATACATTGCTATTCTCTATGTGGCAACATACCAAAAATCACAGATGGTGGCCAGGTCTTTAAAGAAGAATAACATATTTTCCTGTTTGAATCACAAAACCTTAGAGCTGGAGATGACCTCAACACTTCCATTAGGCAGATGAACGGCTATCTAAAAAAAAAAACAGATGGCCATTTTCTTAATTTATAAGCATTTCCAGAGACCAAGAATT